ATAGTCTCTGTGTGATATTAACATTGGTTTGATGAACTGAAACCTTTGGATGTGATAAATATGTAAAGACTACAAATCAGGAAGGGGGCGAATACTCTTTCACAGCACTGTATAAGGTCATTCTGGAACCCGTGCACGCACCTGCATGCCCACAGACAGGTCCATACCTGCGCACGTGTAGCAGCCCTTGCACGCAGTGCTCTTTGTGGTAGCGCACAAACTGTGTGCACGTGAGCCGGACCTCCTCGCGAGGTCCTCCCGCCGAACCGCCCCGTTCAGCGTCTCGTCCCCACCACGCCGACAATCTGCCGGCACCGCAGCAGGACGGCGGTCACGTGAGTGCGACCTATTGGCGGACGCCCGGCGCTGGCGGTATGATTACCTCTTCTTGAAGGGCAGGAGGATGAGGTGACGGTCCAGGCCGAAGATCCCGAACGACAGAAAGCCTTGGCCGTAGTTGGTCACGGCGCAGAAGAACTGAAGCTCCAAGTACAAGCGGCCGGGGTCTTTGTTCAGCAACCACCACAGGCAGCTCGACAGGTTCTACACTCAACGTGGTACAGAAAAACAAACATACGCTCACTGCTCATGTGAGCAAAATGAAATAGAATTTAAGATACACTCCAGATTACAAACGATAAATATGAGTGAATTCTTACCGCAAGCAGGCTGACAATAAGCAAGAGACAGAGCAGAACATGTCTGGCTGTCTGCTTGTCATCTGCGGCTTGCTGATGCTCAGGTGCCGTTAAATTCAACAGATGTTCCGAAGACGACGTACTCTGCTGCTGCCCATCGCACAGCGTCCCCATGTGGCCTGCAGAGAACATTGCATCAAATATCCAATCACAAACGTGCAGGAAATCATTGCCATCTACAATACAACAACTTGTATTTCTGCCTATGCTGTTGCCATGGTTCCTCTGCGTGCTGGTGATCATATCCGGCATGGACTGGAGCGGAGGGGACGTATGGAGGTCTAACACAAAATAATTATCAATAAATACACCATTTTAAATGATTCCACCCCCCAAAAAAAAACACAATACCAGAATTAATACTGCAGACAGAAGGTGAAAGTTCCGCTGTCTGCTCTTGTTGTTGTGGTAGCGGGTCTTCCAAATCAGCAGGTGTCCTCAGCTGCTCCTCACTGGAGGCAGGTAACGCCGCCGCCCGGCTCAGGACGTGGTAGCCTCTCAGCTGGCGGTCGCCTTGGCTGAGGCCCATCAGAGAAACGGCAGCCAGCGCCAGGCTGAATGACAGTAGTGCCGCTGTGCTGAAAATCTGCAGGTAAAGATTGACAGTGAATGTTTGGAGTAAGGAATTGATTTATATTTATTGATAAATTAAAACTTGAGCGTGTCCCTTCAACGACAAACACTGACATCTAGTGGCTTCTTTCATCATAACATACAGGTGTAAATAATCAGAAACCTACTTGCAAACAAATCAGAATCAACATTGTTACACGAATTATTATTATTATTATTACCACCGTTTTATTGGAGCTGCAGTGGATATTCAAAAAATGTCAGTAAAAGTAGACTAGAATAGCCAAATGTCTTTTGGGCTTAATTCGAGCCATTTTAAATGGTGGCAGTTGTGTGCCGACTCCCATTTAAAATACTGCAAGTTTAAATGTGATGGGATACTTCTGAACACGCCGCATGCCAAGTTATGAGGGTGCAACCACATCTTGAAAATATTTTTTAAGAAAGCTGTCAATTACAGGCCACAATAACAGTGGAAAACGTTTTGAAATTATCTTGGTCTAATTTATTTTAATTAAAAAAAAAAAACCCTGTTATTTGAATAGGTGTGTGGAGATTTTTTTAGATCCACTTAACGTGTACCTAATTTTGTGCCAGTACAGTACATTCCTAGCGAATAAAAACAGTGTGTCATTTGGTTTGAAGTTGATGGACAAGTGCGATGGAGTGGAAGTAAAGTCAGCGACCATCACGAGGGATGGAAGAACTGCACCGTAAGGCACTTTTGGGTGGGGGAAAGGACGTCATGGCGGTCGCTGCCTTTTCCTGTCAGGTAGAGGTCATGCTGGTCTCAGTGCCGGTTCTGCCTGGTAAGCCAGTCGATATCAGAGCAAGGATTCACCAGTTGAGGTACATGCACTCTCTCCTGCGGCGCTAGAGGGTGAGAGGGAGAGAGGCCTAAAACTAAAGCAGCAATAAAAATGAACGGGATCAAAGTTGATATTGTATAGAGAAAATACCGTTTTATTGGAGCTGCAGTGGATATTCAAAAAATGTCAGTAAAAGTAGACTAGAATAGCCAAATGTCTTTTGGGCTTAATTCGAGCCATTTTAAATGGTGGCAGTTGTGTGCCGACTCCCATTTAAAATACTGCAAGTTTAAATGTGATGGGATACTTCTGAACACGCCGCATGCCAAGTTATGAGGGTGCAGCCCCATCTTGAAAATATTTTTTAAGAAAGCTGTCAATTACAGGCCACAATAACAGTGGAAAACGCTTTGAAATGATCTTGGTCTAATTTATTTTAATTAAAAAAAAAACCCTGTTATTTGAATAGGTGAGTGGAGATTTTTTTAGATCCACTTAACGTGTACCTAATTTTGTGCCAGTACAGTATATTCCTAGCGAATAAACACAGTGTGTCATTTGGTTTGAAGTTGATGGACAAGTGCGATGGAGTGGAAGTAAAGTCAGCGACCATCACGAGGGATGGAAGAACTGCACCGTAAGGCACTTTTGGGTGGGGGAAAGGACGTCATGGCGGTCGCTGCCTTTTCCTGTCAGGTAGAGGTCATGCTGGTCTCAGTGCCGGTTCTGCCTGGTAAGCCAGTCGATATCAGAGCAAGGATTCACCAGTTGAGGTACATGCACTCTCTCCTGCGGCGCTAGAGGGTGAGAGGGAGAGAGGCCTAAAACTAAAGCAGCAATAAAAATGAACGGGATCAAAGTTGATATTGTATAGAGAAAATACAATGTAGAATTACTTTTTCACATAATGACAGCTTAGTGATAATTTTTTTATTTTGTGCCGAAATAAATTAAATTGGCATTTAGAAACGGCATTTTGCATTTCCTTGTATAGTCTCTGTGTGATATTAACATTGGTTTGATGAACTGAAACCTTTGGATGTGATAAATATGTAAAGACTACAAATCAGGAAGGGGGCGAATACTCTTTCACAGCACTGTATAAGGTCATTCTGGAACCCGTGCACGCACCTGCATGCCCACAGACAGGTCCATACCTGCGCACGTGTAGCAGCCCTTGCACGCAGTGCTCTTTGTGGTAGCGCACAAACTGTGTGCACGTGAGCCGGACCTCCTCGCGAGGTCCTCCCGCCGAACCGCCCCGTTCAGCGTCTCGG